TGGACTCTAGCGTTAGCGATCAGATACTTGTCCAGGAGAGCCAGCACTTCATTGCAGATCTTACGCAGCACAGTCTCTACCTTCCCACGGTACTGACGAGCCATAGCCTACAGTATCATTATTATTAGGGTCATCGTTATTATGATTAAAATCTTTCAAGAATATCATTATCACCATCACCCTCATCACCCTCATCACTCTCATCACCCTCATCACCCATCATCTCCATCATCTCCATCATCTCCATCATTTTCTAAGCGAGACTTATTAATTTAACTTTTCTTGAATTAAATACTTACACCATAAAAACAACCCAAATAATATCTTTGTTAACACATCAAAAATTCACCTGTGCTGAAAACTTTAGAATTGTGGATTTCGAGATCAATGCTTAATTATCTCTTATTGTTAATTTCAAGATTAATTTACATTTCGTTGATCTGGTAGGGTCAGGACAGGGTGAAAGTAAAGAAACTAAAAAAGCTTTATGTTTAGTTTCCTTACTTTCACCTTGTCCTGAACCTGCCAAATCAACGAAATGTAACTTAGAAACAGAGACGACATTCTCTTGAACGACATCAAGTAGTCTATCTGTTGTTATTAATCTATGAATGAACTTATAAACAAGATAATTGCTTTAAAACAAAGATCCCTACAATGGAATATTTAAAGTTTGTCTCAACAATCAGTCATTGAAAAACAATAATGTCGTCTTTAACGACTACAATTTCCGGTTTACCACCTGAGGCCCTTCCTTTCAACATTAGTGGCCGTGTGAATTGATGTCAGATAGGAATTTAGCGTTAGACAATTCTGGCGGCCAAAATTACCCATTCTAAGGTGGAGGACAGACTCTAAAAAAGTTTTCTTCTTGGGGGAAATTTCAAAGAAAGAATTATCATTGTGAATTAAGGAAAGAAATTGACGACAATCAAACATTTCTATATGAGCTATAACTTTCAGATCTATAAACAGAATAGAGCAAAATACTGTCGAAAATAGTGTCAGAGAGGAAACTTCTATTCACGAAAAAAATTTGAAATATTTCGGCGTCCCTTTTAAATTTGCTAAAATCTATAATATCGGAACTTGAAGCTGCAATGCAAAATAGTAAAGAAAATAATCCGCTCAGATTGAAACCTTGATTGAACAATTCATTTAATCTGCTCAAAACCCTTTCTATTGAACGTTTGATAAGAAAAGATAAATAATTTTTTTGTAAATAGAAAACTTTAAGGAGGCACCAAGGACGTAACCAGAACTAAATAAATTTACCTTTGTAATTAAAATAATTTATTAAAATAAAAAAATAATTCTCTAAAAATGGTTGGTGTTGAACAAGGACCAGCAACATCAACCTGAATATAGCATTATTATTAATTTACTTTCCCCATCTCTTCTTCCATTTTGAACTTTGTTCATGAACTTGGCAGTCTTCTTCTAGTTCTGTCCACTTGCTTTATTCTTATCAGTCGAGCCTGAGTTTGAATCCTGTAACACCAGCTAGCTGTATCTATCGGTGGCTTTTTCTCTTTTTTATCAGTCTTGTTAACCGTGATGATCGCCTACAGCACTGTGTGAGAGTCTAGTTAGTTTACTGTCCCTGTAGGGTATATGATTACTAGGTACCTTGTTTTCCTCTCCTGGAGCAGAAATAACATTAATTTCTGCTCTTGGAGAGGAAAACAATGGACCTAGTAACTAGGGGAGGAAAACAACTAAGTGTGAAAATAGCATGGGACCTTGAACTCTGAACTTTCATCCTTTACTGGCTCGTTCTAGTAGAATCATGGTTTCCTTAACTGTCGTCACTATAGACTCGGTCAGTTATGGTATCTTAATAACCTTACTTTTATCTTCTCTGATGTCCACAATAGAATCTTCTCTGCATGGTTTCTGAAGATCAAACAGGTGGTCGTTACAAAGTTCAATAAAGGAAGCCTTGACAACAAACTGGATTCATTTATTGAAATTCATAACGACCAACTGAGTGTATCCATGTTCTCTGTCGGAGTAACAAGGAACTGAGAGGATCGTCTCCCCTTCTCGAGTCCAAGTTCCAACCCTAGCACTAGACCCCCGGACCTTGAGTCATTGGAACTAATCTCCTCATCATCCTCCATCTCATACTTAACATTTGGGAGTTAGGAAAGTATATTTTAAAGAATTGAGAAAATTAAAATGAAAAATGACAAACCCTTTTCATCTATTTTATCTTTATTCAACATGATTTCAGGTAAAAAATAGATTTTTTTCTTCACAGGGTTGCTCCAAGGTATAAAGGTCACCCTGACTTAAAATCAGGGTTCGACGAGAGATATAAAAAACCAAATAAATCACTATAACTAGTTACTAACCTGAGATCCCGGTGAGGGAAGATTAAGTGTATGTATCTGAGAAGAAACAGCTAAACTAATTCTATCCACCACAGCACGCTGAGCTAGCAGCATCTCACGAAACTGTTCCCTCAGCTGGTCAACTCAGATCTAAACATTAATAACAGTTATCTCTTAAGTGTACGCTGACCTTTCTGTTAATAAGGATGAATATGATATTCTGTCGTTTTAACGCTAAAAAATGGTTTTATTTTTCTTAAATTTACGGATTGTAGGGATTTTTTTTCTCGAAAATTATGCTATAGTACGGATTTTCAAAAATGTACGGATTTTTTAAAAAAGGTACGTATTGTACGGTTATTCGAAAATTGTACGGATTGCACGGATTTTTTTTCGAATCTTTTACGGATTGTACGGATTTTTTTCTAAAAATGTACAGATTTTTGTACGGATTTTTTCAAAAAGTTTTGGCCACCCTGAAATTGGTAATTTACTTTCGCAAAAATAAAAAATAATTTTGGTTTAATAGCAATAGGTATTCATATTTCTTATGGGGTAGAGAGCGGAAGGAAATCACTCATGACATGGGGATTAAGGGTGTATTTTTCTGAAACAATTTTACAGAAGCAAAAAAGTATTCTACTAGGAATATTAAGACATACATTTTTCACAAAAATCAAAAATGTGCCCCTCAAATAGGTAATATATTAAAAGTCACTAGAATAAGTGAAAATGAAAATTTTGAAATTATACTGAATTGGGTATCATTGGAACCTTATTGAATTTCTGAATTCATCAATTTACAGAATCGAAAATATTGAAATTTGACTGAGTAAGGTCAAAAAAGGCATTTTTTTAGTACTATAATGAAATCTTCAAAATAATACCAATTAAACAAATTTTATCCAATGTTTTAAATCTACTTTTATAATATGTACAAGCAAACTCAATTTACATAAACACAAATCAATGATCTTGTAAAATAAAGGTTCTTATAACTTAATTTTAATGGTAATAACCTGTTAACAATATAATTAATTTCCATTTATTGACTTTAAATTTAAGGGTACGTCCAAGTATACGATTCATGC